GGGAGTGCTGTTTGTGCGTAGTTTCTGGTGGCCCTGCATGCTCACCGACACCGTAGTTATCAATTTTGTTCTGGTAAAATTGAGTCATTTGGTGTGCGTCACAGACAGCAATATCCACCACATTGATAGTAACGTCCCGGCAGATGTATAGATCTGATTTGATGTAATTCTTTTGCGTGGGGACCCGTGGTTCTGGGATTACTGTAGCTCCCCCATGGCGTAGAATCGTTGCAACTTTATTTGCAACGTCATTGTTCCCTTTTTCAGCTTGCATCATGGGTTTCGCTGCAGGATGGGAGCATGTGAGCGATTAATTCGTGTTGCCCACATGCACCGCGACAATTGAGATCGGACGGAGAACGCGGTGGTCTGCCTCTAGCGCGTCTGACTTTTGTAGGAAGGACGCCTGCGCGTAATTGGGTTACCCTGTTCAATAGGCGCGGGAAGACGCGTGCAGGTTGTCGGAGCTATTGATGAGCAATTGGATACGTTAAGGCTTGACATAGAGGGGATCCGTCAAGGGTAGTAAGTAACTGAGTCTTCCATGCCTCCCTTGCTGAGATTTTATCAGTCACAGTTTGTCCACCTACGATGAGTGGCGAATTAGCTAGCCGATGTATCGCAGGAACAATGGGGTCACGAATGGCCCAACTCAGGATGGCATTCGGGTTAGAAAAGTGTCGCTCCAATCTATCTTTCCGAACTAATGGCAACATGGATGAGAGACTAGGAATCCCTAGGCCGTGGTCATTGATGGATACATAGAAAAAACGACGGCTGTATCCTTGGGTACTGTTAACCATTTGTGAATGTTAGCCCTGATTAAGTTGTCCATCAATTTGAGTGTTTGTCGATGTATTACGCCCAGCAAGAAGCTGTGGATGTGTCGTGGGATGATGAAGTCCCTGCGAATTTCAATTCGTTAATGTGGTTTCAATGTTGGTTACGAAGTTTCCTGGAGTTGCTGACGCAGTTCATCGACGGCGTGAGGCGGTAGCTTGCCGTGTCAGTCAAAGGGTAAACGTAGGAACTTAAATGAATCCATCGGTTGGACTGATGGCAGATTCACTGATCCTACTTAAAGGTCAAAAGTGTCCAGCAACGCTTTCCGTCTGGATCTGTCGATGCCGTTATTTACAACCTCAGTTTTCATCTGGTTTCAGCTTATTAGCTGAAGTTCATCGCTAAAACTTAGGAGCCTTTCCTTTGGTGCGCAACGATGGTCACGCCGTCCGCGTATGCCACATAATCGACCGGGCCTGCGGGACGCATCCATCGAGAGGAGACTGGCTTTTGAAGAGCCTCATCGAACGTCATGATGAAAAGTAGGGGTGAACGTGATGTCCACTTGTCTAACATCTCGCTCTGGGTGAATTCACATTTCCCGGAACGTCGAGATCGACGAGAAATAGTAGGAAGACAGGTAATCAATAAAACGTTTGGGGCCTCAAAATTAAATAAAGCTCTAATTAGGGAGTCATGTGAGATGGAATCAAAGGCCTTTGAAATGTCCACAGCGACGAACGAGGGGGGGGGGAGCAGAGGAGTGAGAGGAACAAATCATGGAATGAAGAGTAGATGGGGCCTCAAAATATCCGTCTTTCCTGAGAGAACCAAATTGTAGACGGTCAGCTAAGAAGGAGGAAATCCAACGCTCAAAGAGAATACGATGTAAAAGCTGTGTGAAAACGGAGACCACAGATATTGGGCGGAAATGTTCGGGAAGCGTGGGAGACGGGATCTTTGGGATGTGGGTGACTCTAGTCACATTAAGATGAGAGGGGTATTGGTACGAGGCAAGAATGCAGTTCAGCAAAGATGTACCGAAGTGGGGATCCATACGCATCAACGTCTCTCGGTGTGCTGCGGCCGACGCCAGACGCTGAACCAGTCATCTGGTGTAGCGGTGAGCGTCATTCAGAGACGGAGCTGGATTCAACAAAATCTGTTTTGGGCGTGATAATCACGCGTGGGGATCGATGGTTAGGCACCGGTGACTGTGAGAATACCCCTGTCCAGTATTCGATGAAGCCAGAAATTTCTTTGAAATAAATGAGAATATCCGTAGCTCGGAGAATGGATGCGGATTTTGAGCTGTTCTCCGAGCTGAGTGATTATTGTGCAGACGTTTCTTTCCTCTTCTTGTAAATGAGAGGTCCGCAATCTGCCATCGAGCACCGTTGCCTCCGCGTCCCGACGCCTAAGATGATACAGACGTTGGATGTGATCGTATTAGAGTCTACGTCGTTGTTTGCTGTTCAGAACATTTCTAGGCTGGTTGTGCGATTCGGACGGTTTCCAGCTATGTGGAAACCACGTTTGACAAAGGTTTTTGAAGCGCCTACTGAATTCGTGTCGGGAATAGTGGGCGAGAGAGTCGGCTAACAGATTTCGAAGCTTTGTGATCCGTACTTGGGTTAAGTCCGCACATAACGGGAGTAGGCGGCTAGCCTCTCGGAGCAGGTGTTGGCATGTTATGGATCGTTCAGATGCGAAGCTATCTGAGTCATCCATGGCAGGCGTGGTAGATCTTCCGTGTGATCGAACTTGGTACGATTCGATTTGGCGTGGGACGCTTTACTGCCGTCCTGGAGTCTTGATCCGGTGAGGTCGTATTGGACGCATCTAATTCAACTTTGTGGCTCTGACGCAGATAGGTTGTTAGGTTTCCAGGAGATGATGATAACGACAATGTTGTCGATGCTGTGGCCCTTCTGGGCGTCTGCTTGTCATGGGATAGGACGCCTTGTCCCGCGGTTGTGAAGGCACGTGGATCAGGGCTTGTTATGGTCTACTTTGTAAGAGGAGCTCCAGTCTCATTGAGTTTCCAGCCTTATACTCTCAGGCGTTTTCTAATACTCTCCGCAGATCGGGCAGGGAAGTATTCTTATAGGTGATTGACTAAATCATAGAAAGAACTGACATTCAGTTTGAGAACATCGACGTTAGTAAACAGTGTCGCCTCCTCCAGGGCCACCCAGTTAAATGGGTGAGCAGACAAACACCTCATGCATTCTTCATTGTGTTCGACGGAGTGGCGAATTCTACGATGTTGTGTAAGGCTTCGTTGTGCCGTAAATATTCCTCTGCACGTGTGACGCTTATATATGAGATTGTTATAGCCTACCGTTTACGCCATGCATCCATGCACTGAAACTCCTGGTTACGGCTTTTACAATGAGTGGATGCATATTCTAGAGGGTAGGAGTCTTTGTGATTATGTATGTGGACAAAGCCTCATGCTGAGCTTGATGCTACATACGTTCTGTTTCTTCACCGTAGTTGGGCTGGGGTGACCTACACTTGCTTACTACGCATTACACTAGGTCTGAAAATCCGTTTTATTTTATTTGCTCAGTTCTGTTGATCTTTTGCAAATGCCCTGTTTATTTTTCTCGTTTTTTCTATCGCTTTCGATGTTCGTCGTTTGATATCCACTAACTCACACTTGTCCGTGATCACCTACACACTAGATCAGACTTAATACACATTTTATTTACGCTGTTCGGTTATACTGCTGCGTGGTTACTGTGCAGTCTGATTGTTTATTTTCTTTCATTTTCTGTGTTCGTTTTTTTATATCCCCGGTGTGGCTGCGATTGATGTGAATGTTGACAAGCTACTTACCTGTCAAAAAGCCGCTACCTCGATTATGCTGACTCCAGGAGACAGTTAGTCGTTGATGCAGGGGACTGGGTGTTCGGTCCTCGTGACCGTGTTAGGCTCAGAATAGTTCCATCCACCTCGGGTACATCTGCTAGTTAGATAGATTGACTGATTGATTGACAGACGGACGGACAGGAATGCTGTTTTTATGCATGTTGAAGGCGCGTGAGCTGGCTGGGTCGATGAGACGTGGCCCCCATCCACATGCGTTCCGGTCTTATTCCTTCGGATTGACACTGAATATTGGGTGTGTGGGTGGTGCAGCGCAAGCCACCCATGGTCCCTCTGTAGGCGCAGGCCTCCTGTGGTTGTCCTATGTAGGCCGCAATGACAAGCAAATTCAGAATCAGATACCGCCAGCCATAGAAATATTCGAGGTAAGGGTTGACACAAAACAGTCAAGGTCAATTCGTGAACGCGGACCAGTGGGGACGCATTGTACCATGCGAGAACCCATGCGTGTAAGCATTAAGGAGCAGGATAAAAGTGCACCCGCCTACATACAGACAGACAAGGGAGATGCTGTGTCGCACAACTTCAACGGAGCCGTAAAATACAGTGCTTCTGGGTCAGGAAATTTCACACCTTTCAAAATCCTGCTACATACACATTATTTGAACAGATGAGTGTTTCAGCGACCTTTGCACAGTAAACATTCATATGGTCAAGTCATAGAGTCGAAAGGAATAATGGCTGTGATGGCCAAAGCGGTCAGCATGCAACTTACGGAGGCTGTCAATATACGTAGACGTGGTTCCACAGGGTTTACTTGGTGAATGTTCAAGCTTAACCATATATATATATATATATATATATATATATATATATATATATATATATATATATATATATATAGTAAAACCTAAGTGGATCACCCCTCTAATTTCCACTTTTTAATACCTTGAACATTCACCATGTATACCCTGTGGTACTACACCTCTGTATATTGACCGGTCTGTAAATTGTATGCTGTCCGCCTGCTCCATAACAGTATTAATATAACCTCTACAACTTGACCACGTGAAGACCTATACACATATATCTATGGGAGGTTTGCATGTGTGTGTTATGTGTTTACTTAACAACAGTGCATCCATATGTTGTCTCTTCCATCTCACCTCCAACCAATGTTAACTTGTCACCACGATTCGTCCGCTACGGTTTCGGCTCTACTGTTTGGCCACTTTGACACGAGGCCAGTCGTTTTACCCCTGTTTCTCTTGCATTTATGGTTGGTTTTGTGTACACTGTCATCGATTCTGTAGCGTAACGTCTCTGTTATTCGTACTCCGATTTCATTTGAACTTTTGGCTGTCTTACTCCCACTCCATCAGTGAAGATGCCTCGTCTGGCAACGCTGAATGGGTTGAAGAAACTCGTTTGGAGGGCCATTCCGACTGGGTCCGTGATGTGGCTTGGGCACCCAGTCTCGATGTGGGGCGCCAAATGATAGCATCTTGTGGCCAGGATGGTCGGGTAATTGTTTGGACGTCTGTGAGCGCAGACGAACCTGGAGCGGTACGATCAGGTGCTGTGATTGACCCCAAAGAGTATGCGCATCGCCTGGGTGCTACGAGTTGGCGTCCAACAGTATTGAACACTTATCCGGATGTGGTTTGGCATGTCTCCTGGTCTATCACAGGAAACATATTGGCCGTATCTGGAGGTGGGAACAAGGTAAGGTTACTTTGCTGGCTCATCTGAACCGCACAACATAGTCTGTGAACCTGATGGGTTTTTCCTTGATTTGAAATTCCTACGCAACGTTTTCCGTTCGAACGTTTATAGCGTGAGATTTAGCAGTTTGCACTGATATCTGTCGTACTCGTGCCTTTTTAGCTGCATTAAATGCCACTATTTTATTCATCCACACAGTTAAAGCCAAATGGCAGTCTTTTTTGTGACACTGAAACCCTGGTTGTAGGTTCTCCCCAACCCCGAGGAACGAGTTTGTTTTCGGTTGTCTAATTTAGACATGCTTTATTGAATGGTATTCCTCTTGTGTATGGCCAGCTGGAATTCTAGGAACAACTTGCAGTCGATGCAAGCGTATATCCCCGCGGTTCACTTTTTAAGCCCAATTTTCCTTTAGCTATATTTCTGGTAGACACAACCCTGACACACTGGTTTTCTCATTTCTTTTCTTAACATCTCGTGTAATCGGCATATGCGCAACCTTCACCATACCTTGTTTATCAAACGTTGTTGGGTTATGGATCTTCCAACACTCCACCAAGTGCTTTTTATGTTGTTCTGATTTGGTGGAATGAAACAACGGTGTTTCACTGGTAGAAACTCAGATGCTCGATAGTCGCAGTGGTATCACCCACATTTTTAGCAACTCCAGATGCCATTACCTTGAATTGGTTGTTGAGGCATTGATTTCCTCACCGCGCTTGACAACCAAGTGACATACGTTTCACCATCTACTGAGCTGGCATTCTCAGCGCTTGACACTGATGCGTACACATTGGTGGACTCTTCATTATGTTCGCATGAACACAGTTGTACATACGCCGACCCTGTTTTTTGAAAATTACGTAAACGTACCGTTGGGTTACGTTACACCATTACCCGATGCGCATGAGCTATAATATTGCGAAATGTAGGTGGAACAATTTATCTTTGGTCGACGACAGCCTAGGGGGCAGAAGTAACGTATTCGGGGAGAAGAACTACTGGACATTCCATCTGACTGTGCTGTGTGACCGCAGGTTGATGTCCTAGTTGGGTTTCAGCAGTTGGCGCCATGCGTGGTCTGGGTTTTTGAGGATCTGGTTTTATCACTATGAAGTCACTCTACCGGTAACGATAATGTAGACTAAAATCTCCTAAGGTTTTCTGTCTAAGTTTACAGGACCTATGGAAAGAATCCTTAACATCATTAGGCGTCCCCTTTTTGGGATCTCAGAGACAGCAGGATTATTTTTCTAACCGACCTAGGTGAAGTATTCCACACGAGACCTCACGTAAGCGTTGAGCATTCGTAGGAGGATGAAATGGTCGGATAACACGAATCCCCTCTGCGAGAAGCCAGGAATCGAAGGGAATCGCTGGAGACAGTTATCACGTTCGCGGAGGCACCGGTTGTGGATTACGAAAGTCTACATATCAGACATTCTTTGCACCCCTAAAAGTCACTACGCTACAAATACCACTCTGCTCCAGACGAGTTTGCGTAGTCACTCGTTGTCCGCTTTCCTTTTCTCGTCGCCCCAAGAATATTTGCACTAGTCGACAGGAGTCAACATGCACACCAGTGGTTGGACTTTGGTGCTCTCTCGTTCCCCGGCTTTCTATTCCGATTCACTATTATATCTGAACTCGATACCGTCGTGTGGGTGCTGGACTCCGGACCAAGACTGTGCCGTTAAACGTCTGTTGAAGCAAGATTGCTTTAACCCTCATCATTTTTAAATATTACGCCCCAACTAGCTAGTTTCTCATAGTCACCACGTCCCGCTGATTCACCAGCCCTCACAACAATCAGACCGATGAAGATCACTGCAGCCTCCGTCTTGATGGAGGGCGTATTGGGCGTCTGTTTATGCGTTATCGGCTTCTTGATAACATTCGTTCATGCAAAAAGTCGTAATAATCGTTTCTTTCCTGAAAGTAGACGTTTATTTCGTCACCCACATATGTTTGTGCTGCTACTTATTTTGCATGGTATACGAGAGGAATTTTTCTTCGTTTTTGTTATCCTTGCACCCGAGGACCTTGCGCTGTTGCACATCTCAGAATTTTCCATATTCAATCCAGGCACATTAGGCAAGTTATGCTAGACTAGATTGCGCAGTGAACCCTTCGTGGGTGTTGCGTGGACACCACGCAGGCGTACTTTTGAGAGATATCGTGACTGCTCCATCGGCGATTTGCCTTTTTAATGTTTTCGTTCCATCAGCTTACAAGCCACATCATTCCGTCACCATCCAGAATGCGTACCATTGACGAGCCCCAATAGGGCGAAACGCGTCTGATGCTTTTCCGGATTATGGCTGTGCTATGTAGCTTGTGGGCTGCTGGGACGAAAACATTAAAATTAATACTAAAATCCTTTTACTCATTAGTAATATGCCATTTGTTGGTGTTTGGGATCATTGTTATTATTATTATTAGTCCTCGTGAATCACGCCAAGTGAATTCACCTCGCTTCCCCGCACTAATCTCTTGTGGCGACGGTGAACTTTCAGTTTACCAGTTAAGGACATACGCAATGGGGCATACATTGACCCTATACGTTGAAGTCTATTGTAATTAAATGAATCAAGGCCAGAAAACAGTTCAGGGTTAAGATATCTTTTCGGTAAAATCTCGTCAGACCCAAACTTTTACATGACACGGATTATGTGGGGTAAGCGTCAAATCGGGCTGGGATTGATTTCTAAGGTGTTTGAAAGGTCAAGATCGATGACTAAAGGTGGCTACAGATGGTAGGAAAAGTGCATCAAAGGAAATTAATACAAGCTTCCGGGCCTAAAGTAAATAGCTAAGGTCACAAAGGGTAGTTAAGTAACCATGTCAGTCGGACAAGATAGTAGTATCGGCCGTATGAATTGTTTGTGTACGCATAATTCCGGCTTCAGATGATGGATGTAAATAGCCTCGGCGATAGACAAGATTTGCTTTCGGAAGCCTTGTGATAAGCGTTCAGGTAGTGAATAGATGACTTTAAAGTCATTCTCCGATGCAGTATGGCCAGTTTCGAGGAGGTGCGACATGATTGAGCTGTCTGAGGCCCGCATTTCGCCTTTGTAAAACCACGCCGGGATGTGCTCGCGAATCCTCTGGGATAGACGTCTCGTTGTGCGACCCACGTATCGTGCACCACAAGAGCACGAGTACTGATAAACGAGCATTGAACGGGTCAACGATGGCAGACTATCTTTCAAGGGTTTTGCAAGCAATGGTTTGTTGTGGTAAACAATTCTTAAGCGGGCTGCGAATTAGTCATCCTTAGACCCCCGTGCCTAATGATTGCTGTCCGTACCCGAGGAGATTGCTAAGTCAGTAACAGCAGTGTTTACCGCGGATGTTTAACCAGAGGCCTCTGGCCCTGCGCTTGCCCCTTATGTTAACCTTACGTCATATACATTGACTGGATTATGTTCCTTGCATGGCTGCGGACAACGCGCCTTGCTGAGTGAAAACCAAGGCTTACAAGCAGGTCACATAGCATTGCAACACAGTGGAGTAAATTCTGTAGGCTAGTTTAGCGTGTACCGCCCCCCAATTGACCGATTCGGGGCTTAATGACCTCATCAGATTTGACTCGATCATGGAATTTCTGATTCTTTTGTGTTCATTGCATTACTTCGACCTATCTTCCCCTTTTTTAGACGAATCTAACCACTCCTCCGCCATCCCTTTATCGTTACTCTTTTTCTTCCGTTCCTCTGACATTTTCTTATTTTGTATATTTTCGTCGCTACAGCGCTTTTATTCAAAATCACGCCCCATTTCCGCTCCATAGGCTGATATATATGCTCGGGTGCATCCGTTTCCTCATTTGCCTGCCACTGCGACTGCGAATAGCTACAGGACGCCTGCGCTTAAAGAGAGACTATGAGTGGCCTGCGGTGCACCACCCATGCACTCCATATTCAATGTAAATCCGAATGAATAAGACTGGGAGGCATGTAAATGAGTACCACGGTAGATTCCAAGTCAATACCTACTCCTTCAACATGCACGCCATTCATTTGAACAGGAGGAAACATGCATATCAGAAGTACACAAGGTGGTAGTTGGGCCGTAACCCGTTCAATGCTTCCTGAAACCGGTGCACTGCGTTTCCTGTCATGGATGAGCAGTTTCCCCGATGTTAGTAATCAAACTAGCGGCTTTTGACGGTGCTAGCACCTTGCCAACATCTGCATCATGCGCAACTAAACTTGGGCTACCAACCAGGAAATGCCGTGACACATGGAACAACGTAACTTTGCAGGCCAATAGCTACGACAATGCAACACACCTGTCATTTCTATTGCAACATCGGCATGAATCTCTGTTTTATATATATATATATATATATATATATATATATATATATATATCCTCCGTCTAGTTTTAACCAGCCTGTAGCTGCGGTTGAATCGTATGCTTTTGCACACGTACGGAGCTCTCCACTTCTCCACAGTGGGATTCGCCGAGGACAATATCGACGGTGACCTTCTCAGGTGAAGTGAATAATTCACAGTCTCCATTATTCGTGTTATAAACCAACACGTGAGCAGAGGCTAAAAATATTCATAAAAGCGGGCGAGGAGGCGAAAAGCAACAGGCATGTGACATTTGGATGTAGAGCGTCAGACATTGGTGGGACAACATGCCTTGAAATATGGCGGAATACCATACGGGAACAATTCAACTGCATCTGCCAACACGTGTTATCCTAGCAGTACACCCACAAGACGTGAATGTAATGGGAGACAGACATTCGCGATAATTAATTAGTGGCTGAGAGCATGAAGGTCTTTGAAGCACCACACCCTTTATGTGCCATGTCTGTCTAACAGGAGCGAGGACAAACACACCTGCTTCTAGCGGCTGGCAGTTCTCATAATCGCTCAAGACCAGTTAACGTGGAAGATAACGCAAAATAACAAAAGCATTGGAATCAGTGTCATGTGGAATCACTCGCATGTAATCAGATCTTGAGAGCTAGCTGAATTTATAGGCTAGTCGTTTACGGTGAGCCCCGAATCCGATGGAGTTGATGGGTACATGATCAAGCTCACCCCCAGTGTATGCCGTTTCTATGACTTTGTTGATGGCGAAGTTATCATAGAAAGGTGTCAGCGGACGACCTTGTTTCACACCGCTGGAGATATTGAACGGCTGTGCGAGTTTGCCATATGTTTTTATACTGCCAGAACTGCGCGCGTAAAGCGCTCCTATGATGTTTACATGCTCATTGGGCACACCTTCCCTGAGTATTCAGTCCCAAAGGACATATCCATCCACCGAAACGAAGTCACCTTTGATATCTAGGAACACGACTACGGCGGGTCGTCAATGGATATAGCGGTGTTCCAACAATTAACTTAAGGTGATGATGAGGTCATAACAGCGTTGATTTCGATGCAACCCGGCTTGCTCTTTACGAATCTGACTTACATAGACGCTAGTCAAACTATGAAGAATGACAGAGGCAAGTAATTTAAAGGTGACGGAGTTTGGGCTGATCTCTATGATTTCCACATTGCGAGTGTGTGACCTCCTTGATTATAACGGAGCGGCTCCAGTTTGTTGGGACAATTTCTTCCTCCCGCAGCTCCATTAGTAAGCTATTTGTGTGTCATCCACAAGAGCTGGTCTCCTAAATTCACGGAGGGCCAGATGAAGCCCATCTGCTCATACGACCTTATTCAATTTCTACAGTCTGATCTCACGTTCGACCGTGCGTAGTAGAGATTTACTGGTCCTCAGCACAGTAACTTGTTACTTATGCTGAATAGATAATATAAGATGCATGCACCTACCAGCTTTCATCCCCTTACTCCATCTCTCAAAGTTAAGACTTACTTGTGCTTATATCGCGGTCATATGCCTCCGTCTTTTCACTCAATTTCTGTACCCGGCCGACTACCGACTGATTGCGCATTCTAGGACAACCTAAATTCATCAGCAGTTGTTTCCTTCCCCCGCAGCAACTGTGGTAAATTTTCTTTTCTTTGCTCTGAGTGTCTCTGCTTTCACTCTACCCTTTGGTTCAGGTCACTCTATGGAAGGAGACTTTGGAGGGCACATGGTTGACGCTGAGTGAAATCACCCGCAGCCATGGTCCTGCCAGTTTGATTGGAGCGGACGAGCCAAGCCAAACTTCGAACGTTTCTTTGCCTGCTGTGGCACCAAGCTGTTGACCAATTGATTACTTTGCCTTTCAGCTTATGTCGTCTATTTTGTTACTTGTCAACGATCACTCGGTTTTGCTTTGTTGGCCCTACACACCGTTTCTCATTGGCACCTGGCTCTGACGCTAATCTGTGAATTAACTGCGACTGTGTCGTCTACCCAATTGTCTTTGCTTTTCTTGGATGGGTGGTCAAGCAAGAACCTAGATTCTCCGGTCGTTAGCTCAATTCGCCAAGCCTAAGATGTGAGCAGCCACATAGATACGGTGCAAAACGATGAGGATTGTCGTAAGACATGGGTAGCGCTGGAGGAGGCTGCATCCGGGTGCAACACCTGGATTATGGGCCATTTTCTTTAAACGACGGGCCTTGTTTTTGACAGCGTGTGTGTAGAAAAACAACGGTGAAAGACGAACCACAAAATCCACTCGTTCTCCAGTGCTGTTCCAGGGTCTCATTTGGTTCTAACTTTGCATATTTCATCTTTTTAGGTGGTCTGCACCTTAGCACTTCCGTTTCAACTCAACCGCCACTTATCCGGATTGAGCCAGAACGCACTAGTACAAGTTACGATCAGCGCCGGCTCCGGGCGGCACCCAGTGCCCCAACCCGCTGTTACTGATACGGACATCAGCCAGCTTTCGACCGACACCGAGAATACCCCCATCAATAATCGCTCGTCGTTGACAGAATAACCAGTTGATATCAAATAGTGCACATATTGCTCTCCACTTGTCTCCCTTTTCACGCAGCATGACTAGTACTCTACAATGACCGACATCATAATAGACAAAAGCGTTCAATCGATGGGCTATCTCGTTAGGTTCATTGGAATTTAACTTGTACTTGAATTGTGTCAGTACCACACTCGTTTTAGCTGAGAACTTGATTGCCTGTTTCTTACTGAAGTAACTGCTGTTCGGTTCAGTCTCGTGCATACATCTGGGGAAAATCATCAATAGCAGGAAATTTCAGCGTGGTATCTCCCCTGTCTTTTTTAAGCAGCTGTCATTTCACGCCCACGCGTAGATTCGTAGTGAAACAATCTCGTTCACTGTTGGTCCTATAAGCGATATATATGTTGTGCATTGCTTTGATGATGTCCTTTGCCTGTAAAGCACTGTTGCCAGTAATCCTTTACTCTCTTCCGTTCCCATTTTCACGATGTCTCTTATCTCATTTGCCGGCAAGAGTCCACTGCTTGCTACATCAGCCACGCTATCAGGGAAGCCGGGTCATCATCCAACCCTGTGTGTATCATTTCACCTTGGGTCTTTCACTGTCCGCACATTGTCAGATCGATCGACCGATGATGCCGAATACTAGCTTACCTCTCTCGGAGTTGATGTACGTGGTGTCTCCGCACCACCCTTACAGGACAACATTGTCCTAAAACATCTGACGTTACCATACTCAAGTTCAAATTCTATGGCCTACACACTCCACGTCTCCCGTGATATCGGATCAACGGCTCACGGTATCTCCTATGCGGAGTTGCTCCCACAGCTCATTGTGCGTAGCCTTGTCTTCTTGCCTGGATACCAGTGAACGACCGTATGTGCTGCATACGACTGCGGGGCTCCATCGACGTCAACAATCAACGACCTAAAGCAATATGCTTCTTTATTGTTTCGGCGTACACCCCCACTGGCTGTGCCCCATATTCCTTCATAGATGATTCTTACAATGATTCTTCTCCGAACGGACATCGCAATTATTGCGGATGAAGTGAATGCTTAAGTCACTCGCTTATCAAGCTCGGAGCACTGCTTTGGAGGTCATTTCGGAGTCGATGCTTGTCGTGCTGACAATAGTGCCTGCTTTCTTCATCCGTGCGCTGGTCGCCATCTCTACCAGTAGCACAAGCCTTGATACCGAGTCACATGGTGTTCGCTGAACAACAGGCTTCTTTGAATTCAGATTGACCGCATCGCCATCAACTACAAATGGCGCACAGCAGTGTAAGATTATCGGTCGATTTGGAGCACTTGTCTGGATTCTGACTACGCCATTGTTCATGCCCGCGCGACGACAGCTCTTCCTGCTTTCGCTACCTGTTCAACTTTTAAAGCGCTTGCTCATCAATTGTATTCGCAATTTGCGAAACGGCAATCTAAATTGCAACCAACTATCACTGTCGAACCGAATGTGAACTGGACTGGCCTTCAACACGTTATGTAGAAGGCACTTGAGGTCGCTTGTGCGTCCAGCTTTGGGCGTCGGAATGGTAGGTGGATTTCTTAAGTTTCTGTCAGCATACTTGAAGTCCGAAAGACGCTCCAATCGGAACTTCAGCTTAAACGTGCTCTTAACACTGAAGCGTCGTTTCACTAGGAACCTGAAAGTCGATCGAAAGCGGTGGTGGATGGCGAGAACCGTCGTATACGGAAGGCTAACCTATCGGGAACGTCAGAGTGGCTCAATTCATTCGACTCCCATGAATGAAATAATAGATAAAATAACCAACTGATATACTCTCAGTCACGTCAGCTAAAACGCTGGAATGGACCATTTGATGAGCAGCTCAGTCGGTCCTGTGTATCCGAATTGTTATATGGATCTCCTGAATCCGTCAGGGGGCGTTGACGTAGCAAATCCCGCTGTCGGCAAATCCGACAGTAGTGGGTGTTGCTGAAACAGCATTAAGCGTCTTGCCCAGATGACTTTCCACCATCGCAGTTTGAGGATGGTTGCAGTTCACTAGCGACTACCTTGGCTTCTCTGTTCGATGATACTTGGTGCCAGCAGCGATCACCTGATTGGCGTTTGTCAGCCGTCATTCCTATCTCCGGAAAGACCAAATGACTTCTTGTGAAAAGCATCTGGGTATCAGTCACCTCCAAGCTGCTGACTTTCATCATATCTCGACGATTTGCTGATCCTCGTAAGTGACGAGCCGGTGGAAGCTAAGCTGACTTCCGCTCCGATAGGATTTTCATCGATCACATTTAGCCTCTTCGCCAGGCGCTCACACGCGACCATCTGTTCAATCATCCTACCCTGTTCGTCTCCCTTGATTTTGAGGCTGCCTTTGGTTCTATTGACCGCACATATCTGCGACGTTTATGTCTACTCCTGTATCACAACTTCTGTGGTTACTTGTGGTCCACGAAATAATATCCCTTAGCTTTTTCACGACAATTAGTTGTTGTTAGCGTTGCACTCTCTCTCCCTTCAACTTTGTGGTTGGAGTGGCCATGACTGGTTCCATGCTATCTGTCCACATTTTTGGAGTAGTTTTATTAGCCGAACGACGGCCCAACGTGGACAGCATATCACTGTGAGTCGGACCCAGCTGTTATACAAGCACTGCTGAATAGGCCAACGCTTAGTGTTGTGCTCACTCAGGCATATACTTTGCACCTACAAGGCGTAGAGTACTGCTGTGGATCTGGGATCACATGCCACCCGTTTTCGTAACCATAGACGAGCCGCTCGGTTTGCTCATTGGGGTAGCTGTATCACCCATGTGGTTACTGCACGCATTACTGTGCCCTCAGTCATTTGTGGAGATGGTGAACATGAGCTTAGCTGTTAAAGGCGTTTATACGAGCCGCTACGCGCCTACGACATTCGAAGACTGGTCATTTCTAACAGATGATGTTTTTGCAGTGCTGCTCATGTGTGAATGCATCATCAGCTGTACGCCGTAACGGCTCTTCGCTGCCGCACGACCACCACCAGTCGTGCGTGGGCTGAGTATACCTCGAGGACACCCGCCCATACGCGGATTCGAACCGGTGATCTTATGGTTGCAAACCAGGTGCGCAGACCACTCAGCCACCGGCCGAATGAGTTCGGCAAGAAGACCTCCGGTGGCTCATTGGATTGCCTTTTTATTTCGAATCGTTTTCGTTGGGTTGCTCATGTGCTTTCCGTGCCGGATGTATTGTACTTCGATATCTCCCCCATTTGGGCGAAATCCAGGTGCCCCTGTAAGAATACATGGAGGAGGTCATCGGTGGGCCGATTCGAATTGCTACGCGTCGTTGACCTCGAGCTCAGCCACATCATCTGATATAACGCAATCTTGATGCCAATAGCACTCTTGCACTAGCTCCCCTGCTACTGACCCATAGCCACTCCGTCTGGTGACTCTTTCTTGCTCAATTCTCTTGCACTGCTATTATTTTTATTCATACTTTTGTCTTAGCGACATGGTTATGGCGACTGGCTCCACCACACCGACACACGGATGAAGGGTGAGAAACTGAACGGAAACGAACTACTCAGTAGGAATTCGTACGTGGATGAATTCTGAACTAATTGTCACATTCAGAAACGGCGTAGAGTTGACTTTGCTTCCAAATAGCTAGTTATATGGAATATCATCGTCATTTATGCAGGTAGTTTTGATTATGCGTCTCAAATCTCGATAGATCTTACTGCACTTAGTTTATGGTTGTTGTCAAGCGTAAATCCGTCCCATTCATCCGCTAAATGTCTGTGTCAGTCACAATGACATGCGTAACACAGATGTCCTCTACTTAGTTGCGGCTTAAAAACCTTTTGGATGTTACGCTGCAACCCACGGTTTGTTTCAGGGAGCCAACACACACCTCAATCCGGGCATGCATCTAATTCTGTAAACAAAGAATATTACTGGAGATTCTTCGCAGTAGCTTCATATCAGACTGTCTTTTAACTCGTCCGAGGAATCACTAGACCGTTGTTTTGTTCTATCTAGAACCTAATGACGCAACACCCGTTTGAATTGTAGAAAGTTATTTTACTCATTTCGAATTTGTTTCCACTGGAATGCATTACCAACACATGCGGTGAACGCACCAGACATCGCAACATTCGAGAAGCTTCGGGAGTTTCACCTTAGTATTAAATGCTACGCAACAGTATGATAAATTCGATGGCCAAGCTACTGATAATTCACGTTGAAAAATTTTTCATTTTAGTTTTTCTTTGCATTTTTCATCATGTGGATCTTGTGAAGTTATGCTTTTTATTCCATCATACACCAGTAAACTATTGGACCAATATTCAATTCTTTCACTGCAAATCTACTGTCAATTGTTCGATTATGCACAGCATGGGCATCTCAAGGATGTACCTGCAAGTCTGCTATTTAGATTCGAGCTCTACGCGTACTAATTCCTTACTATTTTGTGTAATACGCACTTACACAATCGGTCAGGCCGTTGAGT